ACGACCCCAACAACAACAACAACCACTCCAATAACAACAACTCCCACAACGACAACTACCACAACAAAAACTCCCACGACAACAACGCCCACGAGAACAACTCCCACTACAACGACTTCAACAACAACAACTCCCACAACAACAATTCCCACAACAATCACTCCCACAACAACAACTCCCACAAAAACAACTACAATTCCCACAACAAATCCTACAATAACAACAACTCCCACAACAACAACAACAACTCCCACAACAACAACTACAACGCCCATAACAATAACTCCCACTAGAACATCAACAACTCCCACAACAACAAATACAAATGCTACAAAAACAACAACTTCAACGACAACAACAATCCCAAAAATAGCAACAACTCCCACAACAATAACTACAACTTTCAAAACGACAATTACCACAACAATAACTGACACAACAACAACTAGAACTGACAAAATTACAACTCCCAAAACAGCAGCAACAACTTCCACAAAAACAGCTCCCACCACATCAACAACTCCCAAAACCACTGGTCCGACAACAACAACAACTCCAACAACAACAACAACTCCCACAACAACTACTCCCACAAATACAACAACTCCCACTACAACAACTCCAACAACAAAAACTCCAACAACAACAGCTCCAACATCAACAACTGCAACTTCCACAACAAAAACTCCTACAAAAACTACGCCCACAACAACATCAACTCTAACAACAACATCTCCGACAACATTAACAACTCCCACAACAGCAACAAGGCAACCCACAAAAACAACTCCCAAAACAAAAACAACAACTCCCATAACAACAAAAACAACACCAAAAACAATAACTGCCACATCAAAAACAACAAATCCCACAACAACAAATCCATCAACAACAACTCCCACAACAACAACTCCCACAACAACAACTCCAACAACAACAACTCACACAACAACAAAAACTCCCACAAAAACAACTCCAACAACAACAAGTCCCACAACAACATCTCCTCAACAAACAACCAATCGAACAACAACAATAACATTCACAACAACAACTACAAAACCCACAACGACAACTCCTACAACAACAACTACTATTCCAATAACAACATCAACTCCCACAACAACAACAAATCCCACAACAACTACAATTCCCACACCAACAATTCCAACAACAAATACAACTCCCACAACAACAACAACTCCCACAACAACAACAACTTCAACAAAATCAACTACAATTCCCACAACAACAACTCCCACAACAACAACAACTCCCACAACAACAACTACAAACGCCAATACAACTACAACTTCAACAATAACAACAACCCCAAAAACAACAACAACTCCGATAATAACAATTCCCATAACAAATGCTCACAAAAAAACAAAAACTCTAACACAAACAACAATTGCAACAACAACCAAAACTCCCATAATAACAATTCCCATAACAATAACTCCCACAACAACAACTACAACTCCCAAAACCATAATTAGCACAACAACAAATAGGACTCATACAATTACAACACCCACAACAGCAACAACAACTTCCACGAAAACAACTCCAACAACAACAACTCCTTCAACAACAACAACACCAACAACAACAAATACTCACACAACAACAACAACTCCGACAACAACAACTCCCACAACAACAACTCCTACACCAACAACAACAACTCAAACAACACCAAATACTCACACAACAACAACAAGTTCCACAACAACAACTCCCACAACAACAAAAACTCCTACACCAAAAACAACCACTCCAACAACAACAACAACTCAGACAACAACAGCTCCCACATCAACAACTGCAACTCCCACAACATCAACTCCAACAAACACAACTCCCACAACATCAATAACTCCTACAACAGCAACAACACCACCCACAACAACAACCCCCAAAACAAAAACAAAAAATCCCACAACAACAACAACAACAACTTCCACAACAATAACTCCCACATCAACAACAAGTCCCACAACATCAACTCCAACAACCACAACAACAACTCCGACAACAACTCCAAAAACAACAACTCCCACAACAACAACACCTCCCACAACAACAACTCCAACAACAACAACTCCCACTACAACATCTCCCACACCAACAACCAATCCCACAACAACAACACCCACAGCAACAACAACAACTCCCACAACAACAACTCCCACAACAACAACAACTCCCACAAAGACAACTCCTACTACAACAACTCCCACTACAACATCTCCTATTCCAACAACCAATCCCACAACAGCAACTCCCAAAACAACAAAAACTCCAACAACAGTAACTACATATCCCACAAAAAACACAGCTTGCACAACAACAACTACAACTCCAATAACAACAACAACTCCTTCACCAACCAAAACTACCACAACAACAACTACAATTCCAATAACAACAACAACTCCCTCACCAACAACAACTCCCACAACAACAACTAGTCCAATAACAACAACAACTCCCACAACAACAACTACAACTCCAATAACAACAACAACTCCCACAACAACAACAACTACAACTCCAATAACAACAACAACTCCCTCACCAACAACAACTGCCACAACAACAACTACAACTCCAAAAACAAAAACAACTCCCTCACGAACAACAACTCCCACAACAACAACTACAACTCCATTAACAACTACAACTCCCACAACAACAACCACAACTCCAATAACAACAACAACTCCCACAACAACAACTACAACTCCAATAACAACAACAACTCCCTCACCAACAACAACTGCCACAACAAAAACTACAACTCCAAAAACAAAAACAACTCCCTCACCAACAACAACTCCCACAACAACAACTACAACTCCAATAACAACAACAACTCCCACAACAACAACTACAACTCCAATAATAACAAAAACTCCTTCACCAACCAAAACTACCACAACAACAACTACAACTCCAATAACAACAACAACTCCCTCACCAACAACAACTCCCACAACAACAACTAGTCCAATAACAACAACAACTCCCACAACAACAACTACAACTCCAATAACAACAACAACTCCCACAACAACAACAACTACAGCTCCAATAACAACAACAACTCCCTCACCAACAACAACTGCCACAACAACAACTACAACTCCAAAAACAAAAACAACTCCCTCACCAACAACAACTCCCACAACAACAACTACAACTCCAATAACAACAACAACTCCCACAACAACAACTACAACTCCAATAATAACAAAAACTCCTTCACCAACCAAAACTACCACAACAACAACTACAACTCCAATAACAACAACAACTCCCTCACCAACAACAACTCCCACAACAACAACTAGTCCAATAACAACAACAACTCCCACAACAACAACTACAACTCCAATAACAACAACAACTCCCACAACAACAACAACTACAACTCCAATAACAACAACAACTCCCTCACCAACAACAACTGCCACAACAACAACTACAACTCCAAAAACAAAAACAACTCCCTCACGAACAACAACTCCCACAACAACAACTACAACTCCATTAACAACTACAACTCCCACAACAACAACCACAACTCCAATAACAACAACAACTCCCACAACAACAACTACAACTCCAATAACAACAACAACTCCCTCACCAACAACAACTCCCACAACAACAACTAGTCCAATAACAACAACAACTCCCACAACAACAACTACAACTCCAATAACAACAACAACTCCCACAACAACAACTACAACTCCAATAACAACAACAACTCCCACAACAACAACTACAACTCCAATAACAACAACAACTCCCACAACAACAACCACAACTCCAATAACAACAACAACTCCCACAACAACAACTACAACTCCAATAACAACAACAACTCCCTCACCAACAAGACCTCCTACAACAACAACTACAACTCCAATAACAACAACAACTCCCACAACAACAACTACAACTCCAATAACAACAACAACTCCCACAATAACAACTACAACTCCAATAACAACAACAACTCCTTCACCAACCACAACTACCATAACAACAACTACAACTCCAATAACAACAACAACTCCCACAACAACAACTACAACTCCAATAACAACAACAACTCCCACAACAACAACTACAACTCCAATAACAACAACAACAACAACAACAACTCCCACAACAACAAGAACAACTCCCACAACAACAACAACAACTCCCACAACAATAACAAATCCCAAAACAACAACTACCACAATAACAACTGCAACTCCCACAACAACAACAACTACTCCCACAACAACAACAACAACTCCCACAACAATAACAAATCCCAAAACAACAACTCCCACAATAACAACTGCAACTCCCACAAAAACAACAATAACTGCCACAACAACAACTGCAACTCCAATAACAACAACAACTCCCACAAAAACAACCGCAACTCCAATAACAACAACAACTCCCACAACAACAACTACAACTCCAATAACACCAACAACAACTCCCACAACAATAACAAATCCCAAAACAACAACTCCCACAACAACAACTACATTTCCAATAACAACAACAACAACTCCCACAAAAACAATAAATCCCACAACAACAACTACAAGTCCAATAACAACAACAGCAACTCCCACAACAACAACAAATCCCACAACAACAACTATAACTCCCACAACAACAACTCCCACGAAAATAACAACTCTCACAACAACAACAACTCCCACAACAACAACAACAACTCTCACAACAACAACTCCAACAACAACAACTCCCACAACAACAAAAACTCCCACAACAACAACAACTCCCACAACAACAACTCCAACTCCTACAACAAAAACTCCCACAATAACAACAACAACTCCCACAACAACAGCAACAACTCCAACAGCAACAACTCCCACAACAACAAATCCCACAACTACAACTCCCACAACAATTACTAATACACCAACTAAGCCCACAACAACAACTGCTCCCACTGCAACAACTTCCCCAACTACAACAACTAATATCACAACAACTATTGCTACACCAACTACTCCACCAACAAATTCTCCCACTGCAATGACTACCACAACTACAACATCTACTCCCACCACAACAATTGCTTCAACTACAACAACTACCCAAACTATATTAACCTTTCATGCAATAGTTACAACATCTTCACCTACAACTACCGATACATCAACAGCTAATGGAATTACCCCATTAAGTTACAGTAATATAACAACAGCACCTACAACCATCATAGTTTCACGTATAAATACAAACACTGCAACTACTACTACAACTGTTAAACGTGCAACTACTGAGTCTGCCAAGACTCAGTCAGCCAATTTTGAGTCTGCCACAATTGAGACTGCCACTATTAAGCTTGCCACGACTGAGTCTACCAAGACGGAGCTTGTTACTATTGAGGATGCAACTATTGAGCCTACCACTATTAAGCCTGCCACTTCCGCGTCTGAAACTACTGATTCTGCCACCACTGAGTCTGCTGCTACTGATTCTGCGACTACTGAATCTCCCATTTCTATGTCTGCTACTACTAAGTCTGCCAATTCAAAACCTACCACTACTAAGTCTGTCACGACGGGGTCTTCCACTACTGAGTCTGCCACTATTCCAACAAGATCGACTCCTGATGTTTCAATTGTTTTACAGAAACCTATGAACATAAGTAAACATTTATTTTTTCATTTATTATTAATATTTTTTTATTGTTATTTCCATAAGAGACAAATTTCATAATATTTAATTTATTTACAGAATGGTTATTCAGAGCCGGCTGGGAAAATTAATTTCCTAGCCGTAGTAAACCATTTATTTGCTGGGAATAAAGTCGGGAGCTTTTCTCAGCCGACTGTTTATACCTAACATTTTCCTTTTAATTTTATATAATGGGAATTATTTCTTTTCAGTAAACGCTGTGATCAATGTTGAATTTGATATTAAATTTAAAGATAATTATACAGACGCGCTCGACAACCAACAATCAGATGAGTTTAAAAGCACATCGGCAAGATATGAGCTATTGGTGAGTTGTTTTTGTTTTAAAACCTAAAGTAGGTACCCCTACATACTCTTTTCTTGAATATTATCTCCCCTCCCCCCCAACTGAACTCGCTAATTGGCTAAATATGAGGTAAATTGTCCACAGCTCAAGGAACAGTTCCAAACAATCTCAAACTTCAAAGAGATTATAATTCTTGGGTTTTGGTGAGTATAATGAAACTTGTGTGTGATAAGCAGGGTCATTGAAAGAAAATCGATGCGACCGTGGATAATTCTGAATTTATGCACCCTCTTCCTTATGAGTTAGATTAATTAATAGCTATTTTTGCTTGAAGGGATGGGAATCCCTATTTTGCCACCTCATCCCATGGCACGGCAATGATGTTTGGAAAGGGTCTTTTCGAGGTTTGGGGTAGCGGTTAGGGAAGGTAAGGTGTCCTAAGTCTGTTAGTACTGTTTATCCATACTTCTAAAATCTCTTTGTGTGCAATAAGTGTCATATTTAAGACTTTAAAATAAAGAGTCTGAAAATTTAAGGGGATACGTGACAATTTGGATGACGCTGTGCGGAAAACTTTTCCGTGTTTAGTTAACGGAAACGGACTATTCCTCCAAAAGTTTCAGATAAGGAGTTAACCGCTGCCTGAGTGTACCGTATAATCCAAATTTAACAAGACAGATCTCAATATCTTTGTCATGCCGACTAAAAGGGAAACGAAGAACAGTTAAAGAGGCTAAAGAACATAAAAGCTGAAATGCAAGATGAAAAACGTGCTGAAGAAATAAAACCAGACATTGAATAGACAAAAAACAACTCTACAATATTATTGAATATATTACATTAAGGCTAGCTCGTTGAAGATATTGTGTCATTAGGTAATTCCACCAAAAATAATGTATGTCAGAAAAAAAGGCACAGTGTGAACTGCAGTGTTATTCAGGAGGAGAAACTATCAGAAACTTTAAATATAGAGTAAAGTGTGTGCAGGGCTGTCAGCTGTCACAATACTTTTTACTCGATTGGATAGTTAGTTAGACAAAAATAAAGTTCAGGAAATTGAATGCAATCGACTCCACCCCCACCCCCCAACCAGAAACTAAAGATACATACATTGTTACGACACAGCGCTATTATGACAAACAATAAAAAAAAAACCACCAGAACACAAAGCTTAAATATTAAATTTTATAATTTCTCTGTGTGCACAAGTTCATAACATTTGGGGGTTCCTACTGGGATAAAATGTTACGAAATACTACGTGCAGAAGCAGTTCAGTGCTTTCATTTAGTCTGCAGGTATTTAATAACAACACAAAGATCAATATTACAGACGGTTCTTTACCCGAGAACAGTGCTTACCTGAATCAGTCCTCTATCTCTCCGCGCCTGACTAACTACCTTAAAAAGAAACAACTTCATCTGTCATATCAGCACCAAAAAAATATATAAATAAACGGTCGTCAATGCAAACCACGTAGCAAACAGTTACGCAATTAATTTACGAACCAAAAAAAAAAAAAACCAACCGCTTAGCATTTTAAGTATACCAAAACCAAAATCAAAGCATACACTAATTGAACAAATCGGTAACACTTGCAATATTTTTTCTTAATAAGCCACACAAAAAAAAATATCACAGTAAGGATTTTATTCTAAAATTGTGTTTTATTTTTATGTTGGATGTGACTTTTATCTAAACACAAACAAAAAAACAACAAACAAAATTGCAGCTCAAAGTGGATCGCCCCTTCCCCACCAGATCGCTACGCATTCGCATCTATTAAGTAGATGGTATTGATTGATTTTTATACCTCCAGGCGTGGCAGCATAGGTGTCAGATACAAGGTCGTACTTAAGGCTGCTGAAAACAACAACCACACGGTGAACACGACTAAACTCATCCAGGAGATGCAGGCGATGAAGTCCAGCTTGATGAACATCACAGATGTTGACCTAGATTATATCAATCAAACGTTTGATGGTGCCTTCAACTACTGTAAGAACATCCGTGATCGAATACTTCTCCGTTAAATATATATATTGGTATATTGATTTTTAAAAAAAAATGAATATGGAGTTAACCTTTTTAACTAAGGCATTACTTAAAGGCGATTTCATTTTAATCTATGTGGATGAAATAAATATTTTACTGCTATTAGATGTTGATTTAATCTCTCTCTCTCTCTCTCTTTCTGTTCATGTCTCTTCTCTCTGTTTCTCTCTCTCTCTCTTTTTCTCTCTGTCATTTGTTATCTTCTCAGTGTTTCACCCACTCTCTCTCTCTCTCTCTCTTTCTCTCTGTCATTCGTTATCTTCTCCCTGTTTCACCCACTCACTCTCTTTCTCTCTCGATCACTGTATAAACATATATTATTTCACATTGTACTAAATGTATTTTATTTTAAAATCAGATTCAGAATAGGATGATTTTGTGTTATCATTCTTAAAAATTAAATGCATTTTATAAAATATGATATTATATAAGGACTTGAGTAGAATTTATATTAAAAGTCTACTTATTTTTTAAAGTCTACATTTACAATTTACACTAGCCTATATTAAAACGCCTAGAAGAACGCTAAAACTGGTATAAAACTAAAAGATTTCGTAGCAATAGAAACTGAATCGTATACAGCGAGAACTAATATGTATTTTTATCAACAGTCACAAATGTAGTGACCGAAGCCCTGCAGGATAAATGTCTGTTAGAAAATATTTGTGAAGCCGGATATGAATGCGACCAGGCCTCAGAAGAGTGTTTCTCTAAGTGCAAGTTTATCACCTGTTCTGACAGGGGCGAGTGTTATATGGATCGACAGATGAACGCCCAATGCAGGTAGTTTATTAGAAGATAAGATAAGATAGGATAATATAAGATAAGATCCTAATCAAGGGATATGTTATTTTTAAATTAAATTTGTAAATATTTTAAGCAAAACAATTAAACAAATTATTTAAACAAGACAACATTTTCAAATTATGACACTTAAAACGCATGACGTCTAATATTTATTTGTATAGCGTCGAAATCAACCATTAATGAACTCCTTTTTAAAGAAAAATTATAATATTAGTAAAGAAAAAATTACTTTTAATTTAATTTTAAAGATGAAACTGTATATTATATTTCAATTGTAGTGGAAATTCAGGACGAAAATTATATATTTATAATTACAGTGTAATAAAGATACAAGAACTCATTGTCTAATTGTATAAAAGCTGAATTCGATGGCATTAATGAAATATGAATTTATTTTTTTTAAAAAGAAAGTGTACTATTTTTATTTGAAAACATTTCTTTGTCCTTCATCCTTTCAATCATCCTTTCAAAAACAATTTTCATAGACTACAAAAAAAAAAAAAAAAAAAAAAGCAACAAAAAAAAAAAGAACTAAAATGTTCACAGATGTAAAGAGAATGTTTTAAAGGCGTATGAAGGTGATACTTGTTCCACTTCACCACCATCACACGCGGCGTTGTCTCAGAACGAGGTCATTGCCTTAGGAACGGGACTTGGTGGCGCCGTGATTATCATCGGTGTCATTGTTGCCATGGCGATACACAAGCGGAAACAGAGGTTGGTCGGGTGGTTTCAAAAAAAAAAATTCTCCATAGAGACTCAAAAACTGCTGTGGATGGGGTGTGTAATGGCATGCTCCGGTAAATGTAAAACATATCCATAGTTAAGTTACTAATCACAAAGCGCACTGTCGATCTGTCACTGAGATTCTTACCAGGGCAAATGTTGGCATGTGAATCTCATAAATTAAACGACCACGTGCTACTTGATGGGAAAAAGGGGGACAGCAGAAGCCAATCATGTTCAATATACCATATTGTCTGTTAACAGTTTACAAACACGATGCCATGGCTTTAAAGAAATGGAATTAATTAAATCAATTCATTTTTTTAAATTATTTTTTTTTCCCTACATGGGGGGGGTGGGGGGTGATCCCTTAAGTGAGCAGAATATCCTCACAATACTCTAATCCAGCTACTGCTTCTTAAATCCACTTCCCAGCCACCCACCTACGACAGCGTTTATCGGGTACAGTACGGTGACGAGATTTGATTTTGTTTGTAGGGAAAATTGAAATGGTTACTTAAAAAATTTACTAAAACCTGTTTTTGGTATAAATCATTTATAAATGTAATATTGAGCAATAGGGGGTGGGGCTGAAATTTAAACAAATCATCTACACAAGTAATGCACTTGATGAGATCTGATTTAATGCTCGTCCCTCAAGGCTCGCTGCAGCACATTTTTAACACCCTTGAACTATTTTAATATCATAATGACCCTCCCGCTTTTACATCCCAGATCTATTTCACCTATTGTTTCAGGAAAAAAAAATATTAACCACCAAACGCACCTGAGTTAAAAAAAAAATAATAATCAATCATTTAGTGCAGTTAGCGTAAAATTTATTTCGTGAAAACCTATTTCTTCACATTCCCCTTGGAAACAGGAGAAACGGATTTTTCGGTTTGGGAGTAGCGGTGGGGTTAATCATGTGAATGAATGTGTTGTCGTTGGCAATGAGTCTATGTGCCAAGTTTCAGTTTGATAGGCCGACGGAAAGCGGATCAATTAGCAGTCCGAAATTTGTCAGCGAGACACCAAGAAACTCAGCCACTCAGATTTTTAAAAAGCCGCATTTTGATCCGGAGCCGCAGATGGCCGACCACCACTCTGGCACAGAAACAACAATCAGAACTTCTGCATCAGCAGATGGCCGACCACCACTCTGGCACAGAAACAACAATCAGAACTTCTGCATCAGCAGATGGCCGACCACCACTCTGGCACAGAAACAACAATCAGAACTTCTGTTTTATTTTAAAACATTTCTTTGTCCTTCATCCTTTCAATCATCCTTTCAAAAAAAATTTTCATAGACTAAAAAAAAAAAAAAAAAAAAAAAGCAACAAAAAAAAAAGAACTAAAATGTTCACAGATGTAAAGAGAATGTTTTAAAGGCGTATGAAGGTGATACTTGTTCCACTTCACCACCATCACACGCGGCGTTGTCTCAGAACGAGGTCATTGCCTTAGGAACGGGACTTGGTGGCGCCGTGATTATCATCGGTGTCATTGTTGCCATGGCGATACACAAGCGGAAACAGAGGTTGGTCGGGTGGTTTCAAAAAAAAAAATTCTCCATAGAGACTCAAAAACTGCTGTGGATGGGGTGTGTAATGGCATGCTCCGGTAAATGTAAAACATATCCATAGTTAAGTTACTAATCACAAAGCGCACTGTCGATCTGTCACTGAGATTCTTACCAGGGCAAATGTTGGCATGTGAATCTCATAAATTAAACGACCACGTGCTACTTGATGGGAAAAAGGGGGACAGCAGAAGCCAATCATGTTCAATATACCATATTGTCTGTTAACAGTTTACAAACACGATGCCATGGCTTTAAAGAAATGGAATTAATTAAATCAATTCATTTTTTTAAATTATTTTTTTTTCCCTACATGGGGGGGGTGGGGGGGTGATCCCTTAAGTGAGCAGAATATCCTCACAATACTCTAATCCAGCTACTGCTTCTTGAATCCACTTCCCAGCCACCCACCTAGGACAGCGTTTATCGGGTACAGTACGGTGACGAGATTTGATTTTGTTTGTAGGGAAAATTGAAATGGTTACTTAAA